TTTTTTCTAGTCCCTGTCTGAATTTCCTTGGAAACCATGCATTAAAATCCTCCCAAACTCAACGGCTATCCCTCTCAAACCTCCAGAACTCGCATTTTCTGGAGGCCTTTTGGTTAGTTTTATTGATACAGGAAAGAGAAAAGCAATAAAAATGCAACTTGAGGTATTTTGAAATGAAGTAAAAGGCTAATTGGGCATATAAATCCTTGCCTTTAAGCTCAGTATCCTGGAAACTCATTCAAGAAGCAATTTAAGGCCTAGAATATCACCGATTACAATTTCTGCAATCCTTCTTTCTTTTTCTCAACTCAACGCTTGTTGCCCCAACTCTAAACCTCCCCGAATCGTTTTTTTTTCTTGTCGTTTCCTGAAGTTCGACCTTTCTACTGTGCATTTTTTTTCTTGCCTATAATTACGATATGCAGAACTGTAAATGGACTACCCCAGCGAAGATAACGTCCATGAATAAAAAGATTCAGCAGATTCAATTGGATTCCCTTTTACATTACTCGTTCAAACATATAAACATTTTCCTCGCAACTATTATTTTTTCCACATACAGTAGTTTGAAACATATATGTCCGGTTTATACCTCANTATTATTTTTTCCACATACAGTAGTTTGAAACATATATGTCCGGTTTATACCTCATTTTCGACGATCGATGACGACTCTGTGTTCTTGCCAACAGTACGAGATGGAGGCTTAGGCTTGAAAGCATCCATTTCCAGTTTCCCAGCGTCGCTGACCATTTCCTCGGATATTTCTTCTTGCTTCATACCCTATATGTTTCATGTAATAAGTCTGATCAACATTCTTTATACACACAGGTAAACTCGCTCTAGAACGATTTTCTCTGTGTAACGATTTTTTGTACTAAAGGGGTTCCAATATTATAGGGGTTGTCTACAACAAATGTTTCCCCTAGTCCCCTGAATTTCGTTGTAGAGGGAGTCCTCTTGCATATAAGAAGGTCTCAATAAGACTCTTCTATGCGACTCACATAATGTTCGAATTTTTTTATTAAAATCTTTTTGATATACTCACAGCTTCCTCCGCTGTCGATCCATTCTTGTTTGTGTCAACTTGATCATGTTCGTTGTTCGCGATGACTAAAAAAAATTTGGAAATTCTCGAAATTATCAAAAAATTTTCTTCTTCATTTTTTAAACGTTCGAAAAACTACTTACAAGACGGTTCGACGTTTCCTGAAGCTCCAGAATTACTG